ATTTAGCGGTTGTGGCAGCGGCAGGCAGTAGTACAAGTTTGTTGTTGAGTAACATGAGCAACAAGCAATGGTTGCATTGATATTGCAGAAGTAGTGGCAGCGGCAATATTGCCAACTTACTGGTGGTTGGTAGGGATGAGGGAACATAATCCCCATATGACCCCCATATTATTTTATATACTTCTTTTTTCCTACTAACCAGTAAGACAAGTACTTGCCGCTATCATTATCATCGAGGTGGAGTGCGTGGTGGTCACTGTTGCGGTGCTTGCCTAACGCTCTAAGCCCAAGCCCTAAACCCTGGACCCTAAACTGTAAGCTCTGCGCCCTAAGCCCTGAACCCGAAGGCCTTTACCTTAACCCAATCCTAACCCCTCAAGCCCAACGGTGACCCAGCATTGGGCCCACAAAACCGATGAGACCCTTACCGCCCACTGACTGCTAACACCTAAGCCAAACGTACGCATTTGAACAAGTCCCCAAAGCCTAAACCCTCTAGTAGTTTCCATTTTATTTTTTTATCCCAATATTGCCCCCCATATAACCCCAATATATAACTCATAATACCCCATAATATACGATAACATACTATGACATATTATTATACAGTAATTTCCATTTTCTTTTCCATTATCCCTATATAACCCACTATATTCCAAAGTGTTTGGGCTTTTCTTGAAGGTGGTCTATGCTGCGCTATTATCGAACATCTGGTGCGCCTTGTTTCCACCTGCCCTTGAAACGGGCGTAGGGTTTAGGGGTTATATTGGGGTTATTTTAGGGCTCGATGGGGTTCTATAGGGGTTATATAAGGATTATATAGGGATTAATTTGGGGTTATAATGGGCTCTATCGAGATAATGGAAAATAAAATGGAAACTGCTGTAGTATATTGGGTATATATATATATGTATATATATATATAGCTAGGTACCGGGTTTCGGGGCTTAAGATGCAGCATTTAGGATCTGCCAGGTTGATCGGTATGATTTCCTCGTCTTCGGTGTTGACCATGCATCCTTTCCAGGTGTTGTGACTGGCGTTTTATGACGTGGTTTTTGTGAATAACGAGAATAATGGCAGGAATGCTTGTCAAGCGGCTATGTCAAATAGCCATCCTGTTCATTTTCTTTTTCAAGCAGGAGGAAATTTACCTATTCACGACTTCCTGGCAGGATCTAGCTCTAGGATTTGATGCAGCGAGCGAGGGCTGGGAATGATTCATGCTGCTTTGCCAGGTACTTGCTCGTATGGGGAGTACTGATCCCCATCATCAACTACCATGATGACTGACTGCTACCTTCGCGAGGGAGCTTGTGGGGTCTGAGCAAGTGCCATGATGCCAAATGCCCCCAAATATTGTAATGAGGCTGAGCAGACCAAAATGAGCTTGATATCAGGGTATGAGGCTGCGTGAGTACCCTGCCCCCTCAGCTCCCTGTGGACACTCGTGGCTATGCAGGCCTTGATTTGAGCAGTAATGTATCCTGGGTGTTAGCCGTCCAAGACGGAGACTAATTACAGGCGTAGTTCAGGATTGGACCAAGGCCCCTCGCCAGGAGGAGAACTAGAGCAGCTCCTACTTCAGAGGTCCATGAAGAGATCCGGTGGGAGACCATACAATCAATGCCTCAAAATGATGCCGGTTTTTTCGAAGCCTTTGTGTGAGGCATCTTGCAATCTGTTAAAAAGACCTTTAGTCCAGTTCGCCTTGTCTGACATTTTTGTATGTTAGCGGCTAGAAGCTTGTGACCTGCAGATCGACAAGAATATTGGCCATTCATGGTAGCAAGAAACGGTCTGGGGTTCAGGGGCTCTGAGTTTGAGTCTCCGTGCCAGTCCGATCGAGCCAGTATGGATTCCTGCCAAGGACCAGTGCCACGCTAAACTTACTACAGCAATTTTAAATAATTTCAGCTTATTAGTATGAGTGCTAGTACGACACGAAAGAAGTGTGAACCGAAAGGCGAATTCCTCAGCATGGACCGCGAGCTGAAATCCACCATCCATGCACCATGTGCCATGCAAGCAGCCACATTTGAAGAACGGTTTGCTTGCTGAAGACGTGGTGTCCAATGGGCAATTTTTGAGTGCTGGTTCCCTTCATATAAAGATGGCATATTGCACATACGCATCTGACATTGCATACGAATCTAGCATGTAGACTGGGAGATTTAGGTCGACGTGGCGATGTTTGTGTGAACGCTCTTTCAGGAAATTGCCCAAATACATTTCACTCTAGAAAATGCTGGCAATACTCCTGGAGACCTGCATTAGTCAAATTCTTGCTGCTCGAGTAGAGCCCGAGCGTGATGCCTGCAATGGTTGTCACTGAGATTGTTGTTCTTCCTCTGATTGTTACTGGGGTCATTGCGGCCCTGGATATCTCGGCCATATTATCATGGCAAGACTTTAGTTTTCAGTATCGGAAGGCCTCCTGTTCCTTCTACACACGATGATTTTGTCATTGCCATCTTTTTGTGTTAGGGCAATTTGCAGTCTTGGACCTTCACCTGTTTTGAGTCAGTACTTGTGCATTAGAGCAAGTCCCCTCGGCTTCTTGTTAAAAGTTTCTGCGATGCTTCCTTCCTCAGAAGGCACAAAGGAGCCTCGATGCTTCAAAAGGGACGGGTTGCTATCACGTGATAGGCACTCCAGCCCAACGAAGAGTACAAGGCGTTTGCGTGTGAATTTTTGAGGAGTTGTCAGGATTAGAAGTTCCACATTTCTTGCCGCTGTGCAGATCCGTCGTGTAGCCTCCAAAATCTGCCGATGTCACATTTTGGATACAGCTGAAGTTTGCCAGGCGCTGAGGGTTTAAGCATTCCGGGGTACACGTTGGCTCAAGGTCGGATAGCAGGCTCACCCCACGACACATGCAAAGAGCAAGAACCAAACCATACCAATGTAGACTCATGTGGTAGTTTCTCAACATACTTCGTATGAGATCCTTCGTGCGGACATCATGTACCCCCTCTATAGTCCGTGTATATCCCTACAGTGGGTCCCTATGTGTGGGTACCCATATTTGGCCTAAAGCCGCCGAAGCCTAATTAGGGTTTCCTTGGAAGCCCTGATCGCAAAGCCAGGCCTAGACCCCGAAGCCTTGGGCCAAGAACACATTTGAGAGTCTAGGGTTTAGGATTAGGGTTTAGGGCTTAAGGGTTTGCGTCTTAGGGTTTAGGGTTAAGGTTTCAGCATCTCAAGTCGAAGCATGCATTCCAAGAGCAGTTGTCTTAAGCCATAGAAAAATACACACCCGCCCATTGGGTCCCACAACATCAAGAAAATATATACCTTGCAAAGCATTTCAACTCATGAGACGATGCCCATCCACCACACATTCCCCTGCATGTCTTTAAAGTCCTGAGCCCTAAACTCTAAGCTTCGAACCCTAAACTCGGCCCAGACTCAAAGCCCTGACCCGCAACTTTGAGCCCTGAATCCTAGACTCTAAGCGCTGACCCCTAAGCTCTAAGCCCTGACTCTAAGCCCTGAACCCTAGACCCTAAGCCTAGCCTCTAAGCCTTGAACCCTGGACTCTAAGCCCTGTACCCTAGACTCTAAAACCGCCCGAACCCTAGAACCTAAGCTCTACCTGAACCAGAAACTTTCAGCCATGAACCCTAAACTCGAAGCCGAGAACCCTAAACTCAAGCTCGGAACTCTAGTCTAAGCTCTGAACCCTAAACTCGAAGCCCTGAAGCCCTGGACCCTAAACTCTAAGCCAGCAGAGCCCAGGTGTGCCAGCGCAGCTGTATGTTTAACAGTGGTTCCGCAGCACCCCTAAGCCCTGAACCCTAAATTCTAAGCCGTTAAACTTTAGATCCTGAACCCTAGACTGCGAGCCCGGAACCCTAAACTCTGCTGCCGGGGGCTGACTGCTGCGGGGGGCTGCTGCAGGGGGCTGCTGCGTGGGACTGCTGCTGGGGGCTGCCGTGGGGGGCAGGTGGGGGCAGCCAAATGCCAAAAAGACAAAGCAACCCCAAACTCTAAGCCCTGCAGAATCCTTGAACTCTAAGCCCTGAACCACAAACTCTAAGCTCTGAACCCGAGACTCTATGCCCAAGCCTGAGCGCCAAACTCGAAGCCCCGAACCCTGGACTGTAAGCCCTGAACTCTTGACTCCAAGCCTTAAACCATTGCCCGCGAAATCTTTGCCCTGGAGGCCTGGAACCTGGCATTGCCAGCAAAATCTTTGCCCTGGCGACCTGGAAGCCGGCATTGCCAGCGAAATCTTTGCCTGGGAAGCCTGGAAACCGGCACCTGGAAAAAGGCGTTGCGCGCGAAATCTTTGCGGGAAAACGGCATTGCCCGCGAAATCTTGGCCCTGGAAGCCTGGAAAACGGCATTGCCCACGAAATCTTGATTGCCCGCGAAATCTTGGCTCTCGAAGCCTGGAAAACGGCATTGCCCGCGAAATCTTTGCCCTCGAAGCCTGGCAAACGGCATTGTGCCTGAAAAGTGGCATTGCCCGCGAAATCATCATTAGGGTTTAGAGATCCCCTAAGAGGCCAGAAAGCGGCATTGCCCGCAAAATCATTACGGTTTAAATTTTAGATTGCTATATGAAAGACGCGTTTAGGGATTAGGGCCTTACCATAGGGATATGTAGGGATTGATTTTTGGTTTAGGTTTTTTGGATACCTACAGGGATTGATCAGGGAGGTACAAGAAGTCCTTATGGGACTGCTATGGGAACACTCCTCCCAACCTAGACTGCTGTGGCAGTTCATCAAGACTACCCCTTCATCAGCCGTAACAGGGATTCTTATCATTCCCTTAGAATCCCCATAATCTCTTTAAGGTCCCTCAAAAGCCACATTCTTTGAAACTCGTTGATGACTCAACTCTGAATCCTGATCTGGATCATGGTCGGATATGGTTTCTCTCAAATGATTTGAGCATTGTGCAACTGTAAAATGAGAATCGTATCCTAAGATGGAGCCAATACTCCCGAAACCCCACTTAGCGGTTCGGTTGGTAAGCAATGCCTCGCCATGGCGGAATCCTTGGCAACGGCGGCGGGGCAGGTGCGGAAGATTTGAGGGAAGACTTGGTAGTTTCGCAAAATAAAGGGACCCCAAAATAGACCCCAACACGCCCAACATATTTTAATCCGCCCTCAATTCTAGGAAACCCCACATAGGGCTTGAAATGTGGGTTTTCTCTCTGTGATGGTTCAGATTTAAAGTTTGGGGTTTGAAGTTCAGTTGAAGGCTTGGGCGGTTTCTCAAAAAAGTGAGCTGCCCCCAGTTGGTGACTTATGGGTGGCGTGGAAACATGTCCAGAACGCACACGACGTTTCTTTGAGGAGTGTTGAAGGATTTCCCTGACTGAAGAGGTGAGATTATGTGGCTATTTCATACAATAAAGGCCCCATATGTACATCCTACAGCAAAACCTTTGTCATGAGGACCCTCAGAATAAGATGTTAGTTTGAAGCTTTTACACAGGGCTCTCGTAAGGAGTAGAGGGTTTTGGAATCACCTTACAACATCTTGGAGCAGTACCATAAACTCTGCAGTTTAAACTCTGCACATGAGAACTCGCCTTTGAGCGGTCACAGCTTCCTAAAACCCTGAGTTTTAAATCCTACGCCCTACAATCCTTAGGCATTAGCCCAACAATGAGACAAGTGGCCAGGCGACGCAGGCCGCCGAAGAGGCCGCAGACACCCAGGTAGCCCTTATGACTGGAGTTATGCTTCACAGAAGGTTGTAGCGTCTTGGGGTCAGGCATGTGGAGTATCTGCAGGCCAAGGGCGAAGGCATGGGGGCTTTAGGATTAGGAGTCAGGAATTTTGGGTGTAAGGTTCAGGTTGGCTTTTCCGCCAATCCTGGGAAAAGATTGCATCATTCATGCACGTTGCAGATTTGGAGAAAGAGTTGCAATAATCTTCATCGGAACCACCACTCAGGTAGCCTTGACAGCGTCCGGGGCTTTGGACCTGGAATTTGCGACCACGATGCAGAGACTTGGTTCTTGTTGCCTTGGCACTTTTCCGTTGTGGGTACTTAAGGCCGAACAGGGCTGCACGCAATGGTCTCTGGATTCACATCAATAGCCCAGGAGAGTAGAAGCTGCGCTAGCCAGCGCTCCTCGCCACATGCGCATCCGTGGTGAGCAGTGGGCACAGAGGTTGCAGCTAATGGTGAATGTGAAGCAAGCACTGTTTCAGAAAGACCGGAACCTGCACGCGGATCTCTTGCTGAAGTGTATACAAGAGGGCAGCTGGACCGAACCCATGGACAAGCATCCTCCAGAGGGACCTTTGCCATGTCTACCGCGCTACGTCGCCTGCTCTTTGCGCCGGGCGCGAGCTGAACGCATCGCCAGGGCAAAGCCCGAAGCTATTACCCTCAAGGCAGATGGTTGCAATCCGCTGCAAGGGAGCTTGGCCAGTGCCGCCACAGCTGCCATGGGAAAGCCCGAGGCGCACGTAGCGAGCTCAGGCCCGATGCAGGTCTCTGTGGCCGCCCCGCCGGCATATGCGGCCCTGGCAGCTCGCGTCGCGCACCTGGAGCTTCAGAACAAGCAGCTGCGCAAGCAGCTGCTGGAGGCCAGGAAGCGCTCCGAGCGCTCCGCCTCGCCGGCAGCATGCCGCAGCGTGGCAGCCCGGCCGCACACTCCACGCGGTGCCTTCACAGCTGTTCCGCCAGAAGCTCCTGCTGTTGGTTTTGCTGCTGCTGTCACTGCTCCGGCTCCATCGGAGACAGGCGCAGCGCCCGTGGTCCCCGCCGCAAACGTGCCGGCTCGCTTGCAACCAGCTCCAACTGCTCCCAGCCTAGAAAAGCCGGTCACTGCATCTCACCCAATGCCCGAGATTCATGCTGGAGTGTCTGAGCCCTTCCAGCATGGCCTTTGTATTTCGGAGTTTTGTATGACAGAAATCTCATTGAAGCTTCACGAGCTCAAAGCTGTCCTCAAGCTTTAAGATGAAGGCCATAAACATTGCGGATCCCGTCCTCAGCATTGAGCACTCCACCCGGAGCCCCCTTGATATTGAAGCTACTCTTGAACTAGGCTGAGAAGGGGTGGAATGTGGAAGAAAGGGAGAAAGAACAACTAGGTGTGTTCGCCGGGACCTCCACCGCCTGACGGCGACACAGAGGCTTTTCTGAGATACCTGGACGCTTTTCAAAGCTATGCAGGGTCGCTTTTCGCACCCTCCAAGCAAGAGCCGTAGAGGCTCAAAGGATGTAGATAAGGTGGGAATAATTCTGCACAACCATTCTACAAATCCATTTCCTCAGGTAATTTTCATTTTCGTATCCCTGTGCTGCATTCTTTGATGAGGAACTAGAGCACGTACGAACATGTTCAGGAGTTGTGGAGCTGAAAAAGACCTTGATCTTGCAATTGAATTCGCATCTTCCCGGTGCAAATGGATCAGCTGAAAGCAAATCTTTGTCAAGAACAATAGGCAGACAACAGGGAGAAGCATCTTTTCCCTAAGGATACCTTTGTCTCCTATCACACGTCTCAAGTTGCCCAGCAGCAAGCATTGAGAGCACTTCAGAAAAACGATAAACAGCTATGCCCTTAATATCCTGTAATTCCACGGTAGAATCCATACAGAGGGAACATCATTGTCCCCATGAAGCAAAAACCTGAAACCACCATGATTCATCCTTTTTCCATGTTTCAACCTGTCGACCTTCACAAGACGGCTGATCGTTTGAGCTGGCTGGCGGAATCTTTCTTCGACTCGAGATGAGGCTCTGCATGAAAGGAAAAGAGAATGGCTTGCATCGGAAGAGTGCCTTACCTTCCCCCGAGGTCTCCAGCAGGGTGGCTGTCTTGGCAAGCCTAGAGCCACCCCCCACTCCGGGACGTCACGACGTAGAAAACAACATATACGACCAATCCCCCCCATTGTTGAAGACATCCTTTGCGTCATGGGGTGGGGCATGTTCCCCAAAGCACCCATGCTGTAGGTATCTCAGTCATTCCATGCAAGCCACATGTAATCCTCGCATCCATTCAGAGATTCTGGCGTGGTGTGATGTTCGTTGGCCTCCTCTGCCAGTCTCTACAGGCAAGTCACGGCAAGTCGCTGTGCATTTTTTCTTTCAGTGGGGCACACTTACTCGAATCTCCATGAAAGGAACTAGTCTTCGGGCGGCCATGGTAAATAATTTCACGCGGGGAAACCCAACACCGATACCCCT